AGAATGTCGCAACCTCGTAACGGCACCGAACCTCCCCGAACCATGTATCCGAACCGATCCAGCGGCCACACCGAAGCAATGAAGCCGAGCGGCACAACCAAGCAGCACGGCGGCAAGCACCGCACCATCCATCCAACCCGTACTGCTAGGAATCAGGGAAATCAGGTAAGTCGTGCAAAGGGTAGCATTTATCGAGAAACGGTGAGAGTCGTTCGACTCAGGATAAATAAATAAACCGGAGCTAAATCCCATCGTGAATAATCCAATTAGAATGTAATCAAATATTAATTAATCATTAGTTTTCTTTTTTTCTCTCATTTATAGTTCGGTCATCGAAAATAATAAAAATGCAGACCAATTTCATCATACTAAATAAATTCCGACGAAATTGAATTAATTAACAAATATTCCTTCATTTTTATTTTCTTCCATTATTTTTAAAATAACGATAATAATAGAATACGATTTGCTATTGACCTACTGAATTTCTCTGAATTTAAACAAGTATTCAGACCTGTACAGCAGGGCGCCGAGCCTGCGTGGACCAATGGAAAGTCCAGTGGCGCACCCTTTTGCTAGGGCAGGCACCAACTAGACAGGTCCATAGCAGGGCATAGTCCGGTATACTAAGTGGGCCTTGGAGGTTCGGGAACCACCCGACGAGCTGCGGGCGTCAAAGCGAGGAGCTACCAAGCAGGAACTTGGCACACAGGAGGGTCGGGACACCGCGCCTTCCGACATCGCGCGCCGTTAAACGAGCGAGGCTGCACTAGCGTAACTTGCAGAAAACACGCCAAATACCCTTGTAAGGGTATTTGGTACGACATCGGGATCTGCTAAAGATAGGTGACGGGGCCAGAAACGAAGCCCATGTTTTCCAACTTGTTGTGAAGTGCTGCCAACTCAGACCTTGCTCGGGCCAGTTCCGAAGAATCCCTTACTCTGGGAAAAAATTCTCCTTCTAAGAAACTGGCAGCGAATTTTCGCTCCATTTCTTCGGTTGCGGTCATAATCTGTTGGAATGTGTGGTGGATAGGGGATAACTGCTTTCGCAGTTTCGCCCTTATGGCTCTGCTACGAAGCCCATCAATAAATAAATCTCTTCCAACTTCTTCTCCGCGTTGTGTTTTGACAAACATCCGGTAAAACCTGTTTCGATATTCGGTGACCAACTCAAGCGGTTTCTGAACTCGATCTTTGATAATAAAGAGCGCTTGTTTTGGATGAATGTAACCAAATCGATTTAAGAAATTTTGTTCAAAGGTTGGGAGATCTCCCCAAACGTAAGTGCTAAACCAGTGCCGAGCGTCCCCTCCTAATCGAGCGCACGTCGGGCAAGTGCCGAGTGTCCCCTCCTAATCGATTTAAGAAATTTTGTTCAAGGTTTAGGGGTAAAAGCGCAATAGGGCAAGTGCGGGTCGTGCACGTCGTTTCAGGTTTAATGAGCAAATAGACTACCACTCAGACTGTGTAAAGAAATGAAAGTTGCACATGTCGTGCAACATAAGGCAGATGGCATGTGCAGTGTGTCCCAGGGATAAGAGTCCCCACGTAATCACGTTGTTAACAGATCTAGACACTCTTGGATTCTCGAATTGAATCCCCCACAACATTGCCCCTGTCGTCGACCTGAAGCATGTTTCGTATGCCTTAGGCCCGAGAGATGGGAATCACCATCTCCTCTGGTTTCGCCTTTGTGGTCGGTCGCGGACCTGATGGACAGGGTGCACGCTATGGGTATCGCGCTGTCTGATCAGTAGCTGTCGTCTATCGCTGCAAACTTCGGAATCAGACGACGAAGGTCTCAGCCGGAGGTTGCATGTCTGTCGTTCAGACTTCGTTCAGGTTCGGCGGACGAACCCCGAGGCTTGGTACTTGCGGTCTCGCTGACACTCAGAACAAAGGGTTCGAGGCCAGTAGGGAGCGATAGCGTGCTACGGGATAACGGTGAGGTAGTGGAAGGGCAGCACCACTCGGTACGGTGGGCAGTGAGTTATTAGGACTACGACCCCAAGTTCGGAGAAGACGTGGCTCGTGTGGGACTCGGAGAATTGGGTTGTGTAAGGAACAACGTCCAATGCCCTTCCTATATCCCAATCGCACACACGTTCGTCTCCTCGCTGGTAAGGGAATCTCCGAGGATCGGGGCGGGGCTGAGCGAGGAAGTACGCGTTCTTCCGTTCCTAATATTTTCGATATTCGGGGTCCCGCAAACTTTCTCGGTCCGTGATGCAAAACATGTTGTCAATATGACGTAAAACTCGTCATGGCCCGCGCGCAGATCCTGCAGACACGTGTGTAGGCACCGTCCCTTTCGGTCGGGCTTACACGTGCGTGCACAGGATCTGCTTATGGCTATGTGAGGGGCTGGCTTCAGAATAGCAGGAGTGGGCGCAAGCGATGGTCGATCAAAAGATACGATCCGGGTTAGCTTAATTCAAATTTCGTCACTTTCTAGTACCCATCATTATTGCCTTCCACTTTCCTAAGGCGCATGTCTTATCCGTGCGCGACCCCTCAGTCCCTCCCGAATAGTCAATCGTGAACAACCAATCACGGGTCCGTACAATCGCGACTTCCACGTACACATATCTGCTCTACCATTACGCGCGAATCCGAAGGATCCGCAGGAACGACTTGCAATCCCAAGTTCTCACCTGCGCATTCATAAAAACGACAAAATCCCCATTAGACTCATTCATGTTTAGCGAGGGTGAGGAATCGACAAGCGTGCGCATCTGAGGTCGAAAGGAAAGACAACATGCATTCAAACAGAAACCACCGATCTTGCAAGAAATTGAGAATGGCAATTACGCCGCAAACAGAGAGTGAGGAAGTACAAGCATCCATCGGACTGTCAAACATGCAAGATCTAATAGAGCCGCACACCAAAATCCAAGATAATTCACAAGGAAAATCCGAAGTTGCCGCAACAAAATTGGCCAAAGCGGAAATCCAAAATTTATACAGGAAGGTTGGAAGAAGAAGAAACAAAAGGAAAAGACACCATCCTGATCCATCTCCTCTCCCTCCCTCTCTCTCTTTCCACGTCCTTCGATGTAAGCCGTCCGTCGCCACGCACCAACATCGAGTTGTCACTCCGCTTAGCCCAAGCAGACCCGTTAGGTTCACCCGTGCGCCACAATCCGTCGTGGCCCGCACGTCAACCCCGCTTACTTGGCGCCAGCTCGTCGGATCGCCCGACCCAATCTACTCACGTGCCAACTTACTCGTTAGTTGATCCTCACTGACCGCGCTAACCTTCCAAGTTCGGAGAGAAGTAACTAATCGCGCTTGCGAAATTTATAGCATGCCTGTGTGCGCAATGAATTCGGGATTATGCCTAAGCAAAGGAAGAGAGGAAGTGCCTACGTCTGCATGTCCAGGCCGTGGTGCGGGGGACGGCGCCACTCTCCGCGCATCAATCCGGGTGTGCAAACGTGGGAACCACTTAGAACAAAGGAAGAGAGTGTGCATGTGAAGACGAGGCTGGAAAGAAAGAAACAGAAAGGCCATCAACAACAAGAAGATTACAGTTGGGATTGTGCCCGCCAAAAACTACAGTTACGCACAAGATTAAGGCGCAGATGGAAATCAGAGCCCAGACCCTGTCGAGGCACAGCGCGTGCGAGCAAGAAGCGTCGTGCAGCCAAATTGCAAGGTGCCTAAATTCCTAGTCTAAATCCTAATTGCAAAAGGAAATTCCGAAAGAAAAACAATTCCGAGAGTCTGCGGGGGCTCAACATTAGTTCGAATTTCAAAAACGAAAATTCCCGTGCGCTAGTCTCGCCAAAATTCCTAGTGCTCACTGCAGAACAAGAAAGGAGCTATGACAACCGTTATTTCTCGTGCTCGCTAAGGCGCGGTCACTCAATCGTCGGCGCGGGACTTTCCCGGCACCGGCCCAACGAATTCCAACAAAAATGAAAAAGAAGTGAGGGCATCCATGCAACTTGCCCAACCGATCCCTGCTTCCGCCCATCGCCCATCAAAGCCCTCCCGTTTTCCCACAGCAACTTTACGCAGGAAGTCACACGGTTACAGAAGATAGTTCGTCACAGGGTAATGGTCCAGAGTGCTGGTCACACTGAGGTAGGATAGTGGGATAGGGGGTGCGCTAGGAGTATTGACGTGAGGATGGGATGGGAGGTGGTCTCATATTCCAGGACACCCACGGCCTACTGCTCCAGGTGATTACTGTGCACTCAGTGACTGGCCTCTACAACACCATGGACTTGAAAAGAAAAGAAAAGAAAAGAAAAAAAAAAAAACATATACAGGGGACCCCTGAAACATGTTGTCCCCCGCCCTACCTTCTTCCCGCAATTACAACATACGGTCATTATAGTTGTACTTAGAGTGAAATATACCCCAAATACAGCTATAATGACCGTACGCTTTATTCGGGGGAAGAAGGTAGTTGGCAGTGGTCAAGGAGTGGGGTCGGGCCACCGGTGGGGGAGGGCGGCTAATGCAAAGGGGCTCGTTCGACACTCCTCGGGGCTTCCTCGGGCCCCGAGGACGATTCCTCGAAGTCGTTGGGGGATTTCGATGCCTTCGTTCCACTCATCCTCGGAGTCGGTCCCCGAGGACGATTCCTCGGGGCTCCCGCGACCAGATGTATATACGTATTAGCGGCCGAGGGATGTGGGTACCACGGCCTGTCTTCAATTGTGTCCGTCTGGATTGGCGTGGTCCATCTTTTTGGGCCGCCGTGCAAGAAATGACATCGTTCGAAAAGAAAAAAAAAGGGTCTTCCAGAAGGCGCGCAAGGGAGGAATTCAAAATTTGAAAATTCGAAATGTGCGCGTGCGAGTGGAGGCGGGCGACGGACGTCAGCTGTGCGGATGAGGGCGCGGGGGGGTGGCGGCCGTGGGCGTGTCCATATGAAACGTCAGGTTGAACGCCTTCGACTGTAGAGTATGCGCATGCCTTCCCGTGTACGACCATACGTTGTCGGCGTTTAAGGTCGCCATCGTCGTAGCTTGTCGCCGTCCGCAGTGGTGGCGTCCACATTTCTTTAGCGAGGTGGGATATTGTCGTTCCACGTGGCTGTGTGTGCGGAATTTTGGCGGTTGTCGTCAGTTCGCTATCGTGGATGGAAGAGGCGTCGGGGATGGTTATTGACGAATTTGACGGCGATGTCCGGGGTGGTGCATTGGCGACAGATGAGAGGACGGCTATCGCTGTGGCCGTCAATGTCGTCCTCTTTTGTTGTGAAGTGGAGAGAACCACGGGGAAGATGAAAGCAGTTGTTCGTGCGCGACGGAAGGTGACGGCACTGCCAAGCAGTGGTGAAGGCTTGGACTTGGGTGCAGTTTCCGACGCCATCCTCCAGGTGTGCTACATGATGGGGAGCGGCGCATTTCCGAGGGTGACTCCATGTTGGTGGATGAAGCAGCGAACGGGAGGCAACTGGGAGGACCTGCGGCAATGCGACGACGCCACCGACGAGTACTTTAGAGACAAGCTCCGAATGTCGCCACGTGTTTTTCGCGAAATCGCCGAAACGGTTTCTCCATACCTGCAACAGCGTGTGACGTTTTACAGGGTGCCGTTGCAGCCTGACCACATCGTGGCGTACGCTGTCTATAGGTGGGCGTCGGGTGAGACATACGACAGCGGAACGTGCAGCTTCGACATCGGAAGGGCTTCTGGCATCACGGCGGTGCGAGACGTTACCGCCGCCTTGCTTGCTGCGTACCCGGACAAGATTTCATGGCCCACTGGCTTGCAGAAGGCGGTCGTGTTGTGCGCGTTCGCAGACAAGGGATTTCCAAATTGCCATGGGTGCATTGACTGGACCCACATCAACGTCGACAAACCCGCCAACGCAAACGGGGAGGACCACTGTGATCGGAAGAGGCGATTCTTTGTGTAGGCGCAAGTTGTGGTCGACATGAATTTGCGTGTACTAGACGTCTTCGTGGATTACCCTGGCAGCGTGCATAACATGAGGATGTTACATCTGTCCACTTTGTGGGAGGGCGCGGAGTCTGGACAACTTTTCACTGGCCCGCATGTCACGCTGCCATTCGGTGTCTGAACGAATGGATACTTGCTCGGCGACAACGGCTATCCCCAGTCGGTTTGAGGAGTCAGAGGAAAGGAGGAAAGAGTTGGAGTGAGGGTCTGATGAGGAAGATGAACGAGAGGAGAATGAAGGCTTAGCTTTAAGCTTGGCAAACATTCACCAAGCTATGTATATGGTCTCCGCTTATGAGATGGCGGAACCAGAAGCAATCAAAGCTTTGGCAGACAAGTTGTATGATTACCCTGAAAGAGGAAAGTTGGAACTGGTTTACAAGCCGCCATCCACACAAGAAGCAAGAATGCAGGGGTCGTATGCTCAAGTAAGCGGCCAACATTTTTTAGGGGTGGGCTCAAACAAAGAAGCAAAAGGAGGTACAAAACAGTAGATAAGAAGAGTCACCCAGTTCCAGTTCTAGTAACACACGAGGTGGGTGTGTACTACGAATAAGAGAGGAAACTGATAAGGCAGATGAAAGAGAGATGGGATGAGGAGAGTTGTAGAATCAACGAAGAGACAAAGGGGGATTTAATTATTGGGGAATCGGGTTTTCTGACAGAGCAGGAGAAGGCGCTGGTAGTAGGGTTGATGGAGGAAAAGCATCGCGCCTATGCCTTCAATGATGATCAGAGGGGGAGGTTAGATGTGGATAGGGTAGGAATGATCTGAATCCACACAATCCCTCACCAACCATGGAATGTCAGAGGAGCCAGATACCCAAACCCCGATGATCAAAGAATAGTAGTGGAGTATTTGGATGGGAAGATCGGATCGCATGTGGCAGGGTACTCTAGCAGACCATACGCATCACCATGGTTCTGTTTTATTAAGCCAAACGGAGTGTTTAGATGGGTGCAGGATTTGCAGAAATTGAACACTATAACAGTTAGGGATGATGGTGGGCCTCCTAACGCAGATCAACTCTCTGAGGCATGTGCAGGAAGGGCTATTATTTCGCTCATAGATCTATATTCTGGTTACGACCAGTTTCCAGTCTATCCGGCTGATAGGCCGATCACTGCGATGCACATGTCCAGAGGGTTGATTCATATAAACGTGGCACCCCAGGGATGGACAAACGCAGTAGCCATGGTGCAGAGGAGCATGGTAAGAGTCATGCAACCGATCAGCCCGCAGATTACTGAGCCCTATATTGATGACCTTGCGGTAAAAGGATCAATGGAGAAAGATGAGCAAGAGGTTGCACCTGACATAAGGAAGTTTGTTTGGGATCATGTCAACGATCTAAAAAAAGTACTTAACTTGTTACAAGAGTACAACCTCATGGCCAATGGAGCAAAATCCAAGCACTGCATGAAGGAAGCCACCATTTTGGGTTTCCTGTGCAATGAACAAGGACGTCATTCAGACACCAAGAAAACAAATAAGATCCTTGAATGGCCTACGTCATTCAGGAACGTCAGTGAAGTGAGATGTTTTCTTGGAACATGTGGGTTCTGGAGAATGTTCATTCAAAGGTTTGTCGCTAAGACAGAACATGTGAGGAAGTTGGTAAGGAAAAATGAAAAATGGGAATGAGGAGAGAAGCACGAACATGTGGTAAAGGACTTGAAGAAGGAATTTGTGGAAGGGGGTCTTGTGTTGTGTGTTTCAGACTATGATGCCATTATTGAACGACCCTTCATCGTAGAAACCGACGCTGGACCAACAACCCTGGGAGGAGTTCTGATACAGGCTGATTCTGGAGGGAAGGAAAGACCATTGCGATTTGAGAGTCGAACCCTCAACACTACTGAAAGGAACTACTCTCAATTCAAGAGAGAGGCCTTGACAGTGTTGCACTGCTTGCGCATCTTCAGGCATTACCTCTACAGGAGGAGTTTTGTTTTGAGGATAGATCCAACAACGCTTATGTATTCTCTCAAGAACTTCACGCCTACGGATCCCACGATTTTTAGATGACTCACGTACATCTGGATGTTCGACTTTCAGTTGGAACATATCCCAGGAAGTAAGAACAGGGCCGATGGTTTGGGCAGGATAAAATGGGAGAAGCCAGGAGAGTCCAAAGAAGAAGCACCACCGATAGATGGATTTTTGGATGAAGACGATATGCAGCTCCATGTGAACTCATGGAAACTAAGTCTTAACGATAAGGAGGCCAGAAGAGGGAAACCCATGTGGTTTGCGCCAGCAACCTTCGTGAAAATCGAAGGGTTAGTGTTGAAACCGGTGAGGGGAGCGGTAGAGGGGGCGTTTGGAAGATTGAAGGGCATGTGGAGGTTGTTCCTGCGCACGCACAAGTGCAACATGGACACGTTGCCGCAACAGTTCATCGCTGTGTGCATCCTCCATAACATACTGATCGGCGCAGGCATTCCCTTCGATGACAATCTGCTGTGGGAGGTCGGTCCGCATGGCGTCCGACGCAGGGTGGATCTCGATATGCATGCGTCGCTGCGTCCTGTTTGCATGGAGTCGTCAACCGGGGACGCGCTCATTCTGAGGGATGCGTTCGCGGAGAGGATGGGTGCGCAGTGAGGATGGGTGGTTCAAGTTGTGGAAGTGGAGAGTCGAAGAGGGTCGTAATGTGGCGAGATATCGGAGGAGACTGAAGCGGGGAGGCACCGAAGAGATAATGCACAAGGAACGATAGGGAGGTACGCCCTCCCGTATCCACTGGAGGTGCTTCAAGTTAGCGAAGACGGTAATGAGGCCCCCCCGGTTTGCTGCCGTCCGGAAGTTTGTTTGGTCATCGTCAAGCACAATGTGCTTTCTTCTCCGGGGGTGCTCGAAGTACTCATCAGCCAGGTTGTCGTCTTCCTGTTAGCGTGTCACAGTCGTGCCGTGGATGGTTGGTCATCAGTGTCGTTTTCGGTACACGATTTTAATACTGTCATCATTTATGGACCATTGTTGTTTTAGCAGCGCAAGTGGTTGTGCAAACCTTCGTCGAAGTTACTGTGATTCGTTTTCGTAGTGATCATCGTCGTGCGGAAGTCGTTGATGGTCTTCTACAAAGTAGTGTAGAAGACTTAAGTAGGTGGTAGGTTGAATGACGGGAAGCCGTGGGTTGGGCAGTCGGGGCCGGTGGGGGGTGAGGGGGGGTGGAATGGACGGCGTTTGAGCTGCAATCTGCTTTTTCTTTGAACTTTTGTTATTGAAGTCCTTCGAAGACTTCCCCTTTTTTTGATGATATTCTTTCGTTGAGTGGTCTTTCGATGTCGAATGCAGTCATCATTTTGCAATATATTTTCGTTCACTAAGTTGTTATAAGCTTGTCTGACGTTTTTGCGCTTAGGCCAGCGTGTGTGTGTCTCTGTGTGTGTGTGTGTGTGTGTGTTCATAATGTGCAAATGCTGAAATTTTTGTTGATTGTTTTTTTTTTTTTGGCAGTTATGTTGTCATGAAATTGTGTAAACCTTTGTACACAACTTCCTTCGAATGCACGGTGTCACCATCATCAACGAACACATCGTTTTATGGAGATTACAAAACAATATAGAAACTCCGTTCATCATCACATCAAACACACGGACAATCCACTGGCATCTTTTCATGGATTAATATACGCAATGATTGTAGTATTGTTTTTTGAAGGCGCAAGTGATGGTCGTCGAAATAGGTTAGCATGAGTACTTCCGGTCGTCCACTATGTAGTGATCCCCATCAAGTGAACACATCCCCAAAAGAAAGACGCATGTCCCATCGCCCACATAATACACGAGCCCCATTATTTCGATGTAAAAGAAGAACACCGTTTCAGTACCGTTGTGGGTTGTAATATGATTTGATAGCGCGTGGAAATCATAATCAGATAAGAGAACCGAAGCCTCCGCTTCGTCAAATTTCACAACGAATGCAGGTCGAGAACTCAGAGAAAAGGGAATGTGAAGGACGATTACAAAATGAAATAAACGGCGTTGAATTCGAAATGAACGTAACCACCATGTATTCTGCTACGAAGAACAGAAAACACATGTCGTCTGCTGCAAAACCTAAAGAGTAGACACCCAACGACGCAAAGTATGTACACTTCCAACCGAAGGATCGTCGGTGGTGTGGGTGTAGAAGACATAAAAACCTTGCCGCCAACGATCGACTTCGACTCCCACTATCACCCACCCTCGCCGGCAGTCCATCCACTTTGACTCCCACTATCACCCATCCTCGGCGCCATCAACATCTTCCTCATCGTCGTCTTCCTCCTCAGGGGGGCCTGTGCCGATCCACTCCATCTTCGTCGCTTCCATCGGGGAGGACAAAGTCACATCGTGATTGAATGTGACGCCGCACTTAGACGCCCAGTCGGGGATGTACAGTGGGGGGGGAGCGAAGGTCAGAGGCGGTCTTCCGAGTTTGTCCGTCATGACAGTTGCGGCTTGCAAGACATGATGACGCGAGTCAAAATGGCGATCCATGGAAGCAAGAAGGGTGGTCTTCGCCGTCAACTGCACGAAAACCCAGGAGTCGTAGTGCGATCTTGCGTCGTCCCCAACCGTCCTCATTATCCACGTCGCCGCCGCCAACAATTATCTCATTGCCTCCGCCAGGGACTTCAGGTGCTCGTAGAAAACACGCCCCGAGTCCATCACCTGCGCCGCCTCCACCACATTGCTGAAATCGCGCACCAAACGTTGAGCGATGGCCTCCTAGTAAGCCGCGCACTCATCGTCCTAGTGCCTGTCCACCACGTTCGCTCCGACGAACCACAAAGGGAGCTTCATACCCAACTCCAGCATGGTTCGAATCACCATCGGGTTGACTAATGAACGTCAGTCCTCCGATGCCCACATCGCTCTGGCGATGTCAGTCGCCTCGTGGTTCAAGGCGTACTGGTACGCCGAGTGATACTCTTTGTGTCTGCTATCAGACTTGAAAATCCAGCCGTGGATCGCCCTCTTCGCAATGGTCTCCACCTTTAACGCCCTTTCCTTCGCCGCCCTCAACTCCAACTCGTCTTCGATCTTCTTCTGCGGGATTGAACTATGGGGGAGGTTGATGCTCATTCGGATCGGCGATGCGCCGATGGCTGCACTCCCGTCACTACCTCAACGAGGTAAAGTCGGGCTTTGTGTATGATCTGAATGATTTCGTGTCCCCGCGTATGATTCCAGAAGCGAATGTCATCGGTTCATAGCCTCACGGCGACCTCCATCACTTTCGCCTCGACACGTTGCCCATGCAGCTTGTTCACTAGGGCTTCGTCGTCTTCGCCGAGTGCCCCGCCATCGCCCACCTTCGCACCGTCCGCCACTTCGCGCAGTACCTAAACTGCCTCCCCGCGCGGCTGCGGCGCAGCGGCTCGCTTTGCAGACATGTCGATCACAGCCTGGGAACTGCTAGCCACGCCAACAGGCTGTTAGTTCTGCCTATTCGAGGGCGTCCGCGGCTGATCATGAGCCACCTCTGCTGCATCCCCCTCCCCCACTTCGATCCGTATAGCGCCCCCCGTTCTCTGCTTCACTTTCCTCTTAAGGGTCTGTTCCTCTTCTTCTTCGAAGTCGGCGTCCTCCTCCTGTCTCTCCTCTTCATCCACCCAATCTGACTCGACCTCTCGCCCGACTACGCCGTTCCCACCTTGGACGCCCCTTCTTCTCTTTATGGGATCGTGGCAACCTTTCTTCGGTACAAGCTCGCCTTCCGTTACTTGTTTCCCAACACCTCTCCCACGTGAAACGGCGCGAGAAGACATTACGTTTCCTGTGTACACGATGCGTAAGAAGAACGTGGATCCGTCCACCTTGGAGATGGCGGCGAGCAGATCTTAAGGCGGCGCGCAAGACCACACGGCGAGTGGTGCTTGATGGCGGCGAAAGTAGATGGCGGCAGGAAGATGTAATGGCGGCGTGCAATAGAGAAGGTTGTCGGTGGTTATACTGCCGGAAATACCAGGCAGCGAGAAGATTAGACGGCGGCGCACATAGAACACGGTTGATGGCGGGTAATGTCGCAGGAGGCGAGAAGATTAGATCGCGGCGTTCGCGATACCGTGTTCTATGTGCGCCGTAGTACAAGACGACGAGAAGATTAGACGGAGAAAGTAGATGGCGGCGTTCGCGATACCGTGTTCTATGTGCGCCGTAGTACAAGACGGCGAAAAGATTATACGGCGTTTGAAAGACGTCGAGCGGGGGGCGGGGGGGAGGGGGGGGGTGATGGACGCGAAAGTAAAGGCGGCGAGAAGATGTGATGGAGGCGCACATAAAAGATGTCGGGGGAGGGGGGGTGATGGACGCGAAAGTAAAGACGGCGAGAAGATGTGATGGAGGCGCTCATAAAAGAGGCCGGGGGAGGGGGGGTGATGGCGGGAAGATGTCCTGCGAGTCCATCACCAGGCGGCGTGAAGATGATATGCACGCTTTCGGATGACTGCGGAGTGAGGTGATTTCGCGGTACTTATTAGAAAATGGTGGTCGTGGGGGAAGGGTAGGAGTGATGGCGCGCTGTCGTTTCGACGTCGCCAGTACGTTTGTTTTTCTCACAACACGGCAGACTTCACTCGACTGTCGTACCCACTTGCATGGGGCGACGAGACAACCAATGAGCAAAAAAAACGACATTGCGGGACAACACCCCCCATCCAAAAAAAAAACACTCTGCCAAACCCCCAC